TTTCGTATCGAACCTTATTCACAGCAGTTTCTCGTTTACGTTTCGGAACATGAGTAATAGAGTCATGATTTCTTTGAGAAGTTCCATTTGCTCCGAGCTCACTAGATTTGGGAATTCTGTCTGAATCGCTCTGACCATTTGTATTACTTTGGTCGTTGTTTTGATTATTTCGCTTTGAACGTCGTAGGTGAATGGTTTTTCCCTCGGAATGATTGGAGTTTTTCTGTTGGAAAATGTTATTTCATAAAGATGATTGTAGATAAAAGCAATTTGATTTTTGAATCGAACCTTATTCATGGCAGTTTCTCGTTTACGTTTCGAAGCAGTTGTTTTTAATTGGTTAGAATCACTGGCTTTACTTTTCAACGCATCAAAAACATTGTCATTTTTGAATGACTTGCTATGTTAAGGTTATGTTGCATTCAATAATATTCAGGTTCACAGTGACAGAATACAAACACATACATAGAAAATTTGCCTTGAAAATATTAGACAACTCTGATTGTGTACATGCTAAATGTCAAACTGCTACAGTTTATGGTTTGATACGGCTTGATATTTAGTTCTACCTTCAACATGAATGCGGAAAAAAGATTTGGAACGAGAAATCTGTACGAAATCCTCCAGCTTTCAAAAGACGCACAAATTCAAGATGGTAAAAACAGTATTATTTATGCTTTGAAATTTGAAGTAAAAAATATGTACTCATTGCAGTGAAAAAAAGTTATTATCGCTTAGCATTGATGTTTCATCCCGACCGAGTCAAAGAAAATGAAAAGGACGAAGCGAAAGAAAAATTTAATATCATCCACAATGCATATTCCATTCTCTCTGACGCAACAAAAAAAGCTATGTATGACAATGGTTCAAGCGTTCTATTCACCAAGGCAACAGTCGCAGCGCAATGGGAATTTTTTTTAAAGGAAGTCGATGAAGTCGACATTAACAATGCACGAAAGAAGTATCAAGGTTCCATCACAGAAAAAAATGATTTAGTCCGGGAATTCGTTGCTGGTAAAGGCAGTATGACTTACTTGATCAATAACATCCCATTCATGCGGGTCGAAGATCAAGAAAGAATCATAGAAATCATCAGAGCACTCATCGATACTGGAGAAATTCCGAAAATACCCATCAAGAAAATCAGAAATTGAATTGTTTAATTTAGTAACAAAGCAATGAAAACATTCAAAATTTTAGAGGTTTCAATGTAATTGCAATGAGTATTCTTTTTCATATGTAGATGGCGCCTCTCTCTTCTATGTAATCTATTGCAAATCATTCAATAACCTATAAAACTGTCAAACATGAATACATTTCTTACAATATAAAAAGTTTAGCAAAAGCAACATAAAAAGTCTGTATTTTTAACGTAAAAAAATGAATAAAATAAAAACTAACGAAAAATCAAGTGTGAGTAATCACGGTTTAGAATGGAATGCTCTATTTCCGTAATTTTAACGAATTGCTTTGACGTATATTCATTTTCAGGCTGAAATAATTTCAAATACATCAAATTCCATTGTGACAAGTCCAAAGCAATGTTCCACAAACCAAACTATGGACTTTTCGACTGAAGAGTTTGGAAATCATGATGGTTCGTTGATATTTCACTCATCATCTGAAGAAGATATTAGTACAAGTTGCATTGCAAAAACCAGTAGCATACTCTCAAAGAAAGTGTTGATTTCAACTAACAATGTCAAAACCAACACACATGATTCGAATATCAACAAATCGGTACGTTTTCCTCCTGCTATGCTTAGATCAATACATGTAAATTTGAAATATTCTCTTTGAAAGGTCGAAGGGAGCAGCAATGATGAAATAAATAGTGCGTCAAATTCAAAGCAATCCGTTCATGCAATGTCAAAGTCGAACACCGACAAGACTCGAAGCAATGGTACAACGAACAAAGGTCTAAAATCCAAGAAAAAAACAGCCAAAAAGAGAAAACTTTCTGTTAGTGATTCAGACATCAACAAATCGGTACGTTTTTTCCTGCTATGCTAAGATCAATACATGTTTATTCGAAGTATTCTCTTTGAAAGGTCGAAGGAAGCAGCAATGATGAAACAAATAGTGCGTCAAATTCAAAGCAATCTGTTCACGCAATGACAAAGTCGAACACCAACAAGACTCGAAGCAATGGTACAACGAACAAAGGTCCTAAATCAAAGAAAAAAACAGCCAAAAAGAGAAAACTTATTGTTAGTGATTCAGACATCAACAAATCGGTACGTTTTTTCCTGCTATGCTTAGATCAATACATGTTTATTCGAAGTATTCTCTTTGAAAGGTCGAAGGGAGCAGCAATGATGAAATAAATAGTGCGTCAAATTCAAAGCAATCTGTTCATGCAATGTCAAAGTCGAACACCGACAAGACTCGAAGCAATGGTACAACGAACAAAGGTCCTAAATCCAAGAAAAAAACAGCCAAAAAGAGAAAACTTTCTGTTTGTGATTCAGACATCAACAAATCGGTACGTTTTTTTGTCTGCTATGATTAGATCAATCAATGTTAATTCGAAGTATTCTCTTTTAAAGGTCGAAAGGGGCAGCAATGATAAAATAAACAGTGCGTCAAATTCAAAGCAATCTTCTCCCATAATGTGGAAACTCACTGAATCAAACAATGATGTACGTTAAGATTTTGCTTTGATTATGATTTAAAATTTTTTATCCAAAAATAATGTTGTATGTGTTACTGTTTCTTTTCAAGGCCGAAATTCTCGACGAATCATTGGAATTAGATTTAACACAAGAGACTGAAGATAAGAATGTCATTGCAAATACTGCCAACACACCAGCAATGAAATTATCGCTCTCAAATAACACCAAACCGAAAAAACAACAATTCGATTGGACAATTCATGGCAAATACAATAACTTAGAAGAAATTGAAGATTTCCTCGAAGCAGAAGGCATGGTCATTTATGACAGTAAAGATCTCGGGTGCGGTCAAAAATTCTATTTTCGCTGTAGCTGTATTCCAAGAGATCGTCCGAGAGCTGAATGGTGCGCACGGCGCTACATTATTTTTTTTCCATCCGAATGCAATGAAATTATTTTACAATGCAATAACCTTGATCACAACCATGAAGAACTATTGAAAGGAACAAAGAGACCCATCTCAAAGGATATGCTTGAATTCATTCACGATCTATATGCCAAAAACACATTCAAATACGTATCTGTTATTGCGCACATTGAGTCAGCACGCACCAATCAAAATCTCTTTAAGGATGAATCGAACCCATCAGCACGGCAACTAGAATACTGTTTGAAAAAGTACAGAGCAGGCGATACAAACAGAATGGTTAAGTTGGGAGATTTAATGCAATGGTGCGAGGAATCATCAAACTACCCTGCTGATGCTGATGAATCATTTGTACTTAGCTATGACTGCAATAAGGGGAACAAGGCAAGCTTTAGGTTCTGCGTCACATCACCACGATTGTTAGAAACAATGTCCAAAGCAGAAACCATTTGCATTGACGCGACCTATAAATTGAACTGGATGGGATTTCCGCTCATCATTTTGGGTACGATCGATCGCCAAAAGCATTTCCATCCCGTCATATACGCATGTTCATCAAATGAAACGACTGATGACTACGTATTTGTTTTCGAATCATTAAAACATGGCATTGAGAAATATTGTGCGGATGCTTTGTTCAAACCAAAAGTATTAGTCGCAGATGGTGCAGACGCTATTCGTAATGCCTTTTATCAAGTGTTTAAGGACTCTGCAAAATTGGACGTGATGTGCTTTGCCCACGTTTTGAGAAATGTACGTAAAAGACCATTTTCGTCAAAAAATAACAAAGAGCTCATTATCGATGATATTCGAAAGATGCAATGTGCCGAAAACCGAAAAGTTTTTGATATGATGGCAGATTTATTCGTCAAGAAGTGGATTTGCCTTGAGCAAAATTTCATCGAATATTTCAAAATGCAATGGTTGGGTGTACACTCAAACTGGTTTGAAGGAGCTGCTGAATACACACCGTCAACCAACAATGCTGTCGAAAGTCACAATGCTGTTATAAAACGTAAAGTGACCTTTCGTCGCAGATTGCCATTGAAAGAATTTCTCATTGCAATGAAAAATCTGACGTCGGAAATATCAAAGCAGTTTGCAGAAGGTAAAAGATCTATTGCCGTGGCACCAAACATTGATCGAAATACCATGATGAAAGCAGCTGAAATGGAGTGCAATGGATTCGTATCATTCAAAGCAA